TAGAATCAACTCCTAGCTCCTAAGGATCCCAGAAGGCAAGTGCAAATCAAACATGTCCCGGGTAGAGTCATAAATCTGAAATACAGTGATAGGTGATTTGAAGGGAAGCAAAACAAGCAAGAAGCCAGGGTAAGAAGGATCATCTCAGGGTGGCATTTGATTAGCAAGGGGGTGAAAGAGGGCGTTTAATTTAGAAAGTGTTGAGTCACTTCAATAACAATCCCAGCTAACATTTATTGAGTGCTTAATATGAGCCAGTGAAGAACTAATTGACATGAATCATCTCATTTATTCCTCACAACAACCCTCGGAGGTAGGTACTACCATTATCTTCAATTTACAGATGGAGAATTGGGTGCCCTGAAAATTTAAGTAACTCAGCCAAAGTACACAACTATCAAGGGGCAAAAGTATACAAAGTACACAACTGTGAGGTTTTAATTTCTGAAACCTAAGCCTATAAACTATAGCTTCTCCAATTTACTGCCTGTCCTAATTCAGAAATATTACTAATGTGTAACAGAGTGAAGAGGAAAAGAGATCAACAATTCAGAAACTCGAATCCTTCAGAAGGCTTGCACAGCTCCTTTGGCTTCACTATGGCATGGGGTGAAATAAGAGCCAGTGAGATTTACAGTTCGAGAGGCCCTCTACTCAGTTGATCTTACTTGTTGGCTTGAAATAATTGCATGATGTAAAAACCTGCAGCCATTTCTCAAGCTTTGTTTTTACACAATCAGCTTGGGAGGGATTTAGACATGTAGGTACAATGGGCTGATTTTTCTTTCTCTTGGGTTGGCACTGGGCGGTGTGACTATTGGTTCCACCCTAGCACACTGACTGGCGCAAGATGCATCAGACCTTGTTGAGCCAACAAAAAGATCTTGAAGAGCTTGTTTTTAAGATGAGCCTAGTTAAGGAGAACAGACTTTGGGCTCAAAAAGCCCATGGACAGAAAGTTAAATGAACTCTTTCTAGAGTGCCATGTTATTAGGGAGTCCTCTGAAATGGGTGCTTTACAAAATGGGAGGCTGCAACAACAGGTTATTTATACCCTTTTAGGGGAATACTTTATCCTTAGTATTATTCTGGCCTGGACTCATCATAGACTCAAGTTTAGTAAATAATACCTATCATACTCTCTTGCAAGGGTTATAGCTCCTTCTGTGTTTTGTAGAATGCCTCACGCATGGTAGGGCACAATAAACGGCCAAAATAATGTTTACTATGATAGCGATCTTTCAAGTGCCTTTCATCTGCGACTCTCAAAGTGTCTTGCAAACATTAATTAGTTATGCCTCACGGTGGCCTTCTGTTTTTACAATACATTTTCCCATTTTACAGAATTTTAAATGGAGATCCAGTAACCTTAAGTGACTTGCCCAAAGTTGTAGAGTAACTTTAAATTAATGATAATACTGATGCTTTGCATTTATCTGGCAGGTATTTTCTAAGGTGATATAGTAAGTTGCAAAGATAATTTTCACATGATCCTGGAGCCAGGTGAGTGGCAAGTATTTCTAGCTATTGGCTACCCTCAATAAACTGAAGCAGAAAGCGTGAGAGGCTGGCGAGATAGCTCAACGGTCTAAAGCATGTGCTTAGGCAGGCTCAGGGATGGAAGTTCGATCCCCTACATCACATGCTGTGCCAGGCCCACCCAGAGGGTGGGCTGAGCCAGTCCCTCAATCCCCCAAAAAGGATGTTGTTATGTTGAACTGTAGGGGACTCAGGTCAACAACTTTTGACATTGCCAGTCAAGTGGAAGACCCAATACTATTATGGACTACTGGACTATTTTGGAATATTTTGCTGAGTTCACACACCTATAATATTTAAATGATGGAACTAAACAAACAAAAAAAAAAGGGGATACAGATGACTGACCATTTTGTATCTGTGTATTCAAAATGGTTAGGATAGATATATAGCTACATTCTCTTAATTCAATGAATAGAGGGATTTGTTCTAACAGTGTTTGTAAATAGGATATAATGTCTGCATCTTGTGCAACAAATAACCACTAGAAGACAGTATGTAATGTGTTAATTATTGGAACTGTCTTACCAATTTGATTTGAAACTGTCTCACTGCTATTTATTTCTCAATAAAATTATGGAAAAAAAAGGTGAGTACTTTGGGAAGTTGACTGACATTGCGGGCCCACTCCTGATGCTTGGAACAGAACGTGGCACCCAGCGCATGCTCAGTTCTTGTAGGTGAGGGACTCGTGGATGTTTTGACACTTACAGGAAAGACAGTTGCACTTCTAGCAGTAGAAACACATTGCAGAACGATGCTGTGTTTCCACTTACAGGTGGCTGTGCTTGTCTCCCCACTGAGAGAGGAGAAGGGAAGAGGGGAGCCCTTCAAGAAAGGGCAGCTCAGGACCAAGAGGTGGTGGGGCACGTGGCTGGCTCCACTCTACTATAGAGTGTCTTTACTAATCCAGGCCCTGCCTAAAAGCAGGTCCCATGTTTCAGCCTCATGACAGGCCTCAGGTCAGGACAGCTTGGCGGATGGGAGCACATGTGTTACTAGCACTGTAGTCTGATGTTCCAAGTCCCTGCAGAAGAGTTCTACAGACACTCAGTGTTTTATGGCTTTCTCCTGTGTACCAACAGTACTTGCCTCAACCTCCTCCCCCACCAGGGCCCTCTAAGTCATCCATGGCTCCAAAATTGGCTATTTTTTCTATTCTTTTCTCTTTTCTTTCTTTTATTTTTTTAAAGAATACAAAATGGTAATAGAAAAAAAAAAGCATTAGAGACGACACAAAATTTCACTAAGCAAAGCGAGAGGCACTCGGCAATGCTTGTTGTGCTGCACAAGGGGGTCTTCAAATTAGTTGTTCAGGCTACCAGCTATAAAGGCGCAAGATTGGTTTAAACAAACAAACAAACAAACAAACAAAAAACCAAACAGAACACAACAGTAACAAAAATTTATAAGAAATTCAAAAGAAAAAAATAATAAAAAGAAAAAAATTCAAGCATTAACTACTCCTTTCAAAAGACTGGCAGAAATTAGCAGTACAATTATTCAAACTATTCTGTGTACATGCCTAAATATACATTTTCCCCTTCTTTCTTTTGCCCTTTTCATCATCGTAGTTTTCCCTTCTCATTGAACAAATTTTTTCCCTTTTACTGTATCGCTTGTACTTTCCTAATTTTATTTACTGTTTCAGGTTCTCACACTAGTGAGACAATACAATGTTTGCATGTGTGGATCTGGTCTATTTTACTTACTAATTTTACTTACTAATTTTACTTACTATTTTACTTACTAATCTGGTCTATTTTTACTTACTAATATAGTCTCTAGTTGCATCCATGTATCTACAAAAGCTTTGAATTTATCTTTTTTATAGCTGAATAATACTCCATTGTATAAAAATATCACATCCTTTTTTTATCCAGTCCTCAGTTTGCTACCTTTTCTTAATCAAACAGCCACAGCAAAAAGCCCAAGAAAAGTCTGCAAAGCTGACAAAAGGCTCACCTCCCATGGCGAGTGACAATACTCTTCTGAAAGGCAAGCCAGACTTTGCAGGGAGGGCTTGTTAAGTCTTCGGAATTCAAGGGGGATTTACTGGCCCAGAGTTAGAGCCTTTTCTCTATAGACAAGGAACAGCTGAGGAAACACTTGTTCCCCACCCCCACTCTGCCTCAGCAGGCTGTGTGTATCTGACTGATCACTAGGCCAGAGCTCCCGGAGAGATGTAAGAAGTGCCAAGCCCTTTTCTGGAATGTGTTCACACGCACAAGCACAACAGCAATAAAAAAAAAAAAAAAAATCTGCAGCGAAGAAACCACACCAACGTTTCTCTTCCCGCTCTCATTTTTGAAAGTGTACACCCATCCCTACCACATGGATGCCTTTAAGGTTCAGCGAAACCAAGCAGAGCGGCACTCTCAGACGGAGAACTTGACAAACACATGTTGAACGCATTTCGCAAGCCTCTTCCTGGCTGAGGAAGGAAGGGGTCCTGTCTGTGCAGACCCACCCACTGCTCCTCTTCCGAGTAGCGCTGTGGGACCCTGATGCCAGTAGCAAAGCTTGCTGCAGGCAAGACTCGAAAGAACGCAGTTTTGATTTTCTAGTTATGCTCACAATCCAAGTCAGCCTTCTGTGTCTACCTGGGTGCACTGACTCCGGAGCTGACGGCACAAATCATCCTGCTGGACCTACAGGGACCACATCCTTCTCTTGAGCTGTGCTCCTGAGATGCGTTGCATGTTAACCTCACCATCAAGTTGGACTGAGTCCTCCCGATGTGCTTGTGAGGCCAGATTCAAACTACCAAAGCACGCGAGGCAAGACTAGGAATGGGGTATGGGGCTCGACCAGGTCTGTTTGTGTTCTAACTGCAGCCTGTGATGTATATTTTATTTACCTTATAAAGTGAGACACGTGTTCAGGGCTCTTATACAAATATATAGTGTTTCACGGCCCAGCCTTGGCTATCCATCAGTCCACCCACATCGATGCTTCTCTCTTGCTCCATTTTCGAACAGATTGTGAATGAGCATTGCCATAATAATACTTTATGACTCGGGATAAACAGATAGATTTGGGTATAACTCAAACACTCCTGAACAGTTTGAAACTTCTCAGAGATCTGAAAAGCAACCAGTAGTTGGATTTGTTTTTTTTCTTTATCTCACACCCCCGTTGTTTCCTGCATACTGGTTTGGCTTCAGAGAAACAGGAGTCAACAATCAAACCGCTAATCTAAAACCCTTTTCTTGTTTTACTACGCTGGACAGGAAGTAAGGAGAACCAGAGAAGCTTTTGAAGTTTTAAGGAAAAGTCAGACAGATTTCATGGACTCAGGCTTCTGATGTATTTCACTGCTGTGATTACTGATCACAGAAACTTAGCTCTGGGGACTCATTGGTGGCTCTCCAAATATAACTAACTCAAAGAAGACCAACCCTAGCTCCCGTGCACACACACCAAGTACACATGGTATCAACAGGTAACCTCTTTCTTACCCCATCCATGTGGATTCTGATGTTGGGCACCAGCCGGAAAGAGCTGGCCTGCAGACTTCTGGGGCTGGTCCTGCTCTTCCTGCTGTCCTGTGAGGTCAGCACTCCAGGCCTGCGGAAGGAGCCTCCTCTCCCGGAGTTCTGTCCTGAGCGTACGCCATCCAGGAGACGCACCAGCAGCAGGTTGGCTGGCAGTGCCTCGATGCTGCAAAACACGAGGGTCCTGCATTCGGGGCACCTCAGCTCCTTGTGGGCCTTGAAAATCCTCTGAAGACATGGCTTGCAGAAGGTGTGCTGGCAAGGAAGGACTTTAGCTGTGACATCAAGCTTTTCGAAGCACACAGGGCACTCCAGAAGATCAAGTAACGTCAGATCATCCATTTTATTTTAAAGCTCCAGTCCCAACCTAGAGGAGTGGACTCCACATTACAGGGGCAGCTGAGCCAAGGGCCAGAGCCAGCCTCTGGAAAGAATCCTGCCAGTTTGAAAGAGAAAGAAGGGAAAGAAAAAGTGTGACTGCTCTGAGAGGTATATTCCACCTACATTGAGGCAGTGTCTCATAAGGCAGTTTGCAGATACTTGGTTCCAGAACCCAAGTTTCAAATGACTCATTCTGATTCAGAGCTAGCAGGTTTAAGACTCAACTCCTGCCTGCAGTGAAGATCAGAGGAAACGTCCAGCACGGCCACTGATAACTCATTGCCTCTCCCGGGATGGCAGTGCAGGCTGACAAAACTGACCTGTGGAGGTGGCAGAGCTCTTGTCTACTAGCCGGGAGGGTCCTTTTCAGCCCTGCCTGGGGAGAGCCCTCAGGTTGTCTCTCTCCATTCTCAAGTTAGAGCTCACTCACAACATCATTTCTGTGACACTCCAGCTTTCCTCTTTTACTGCCTGGATTTAAGTTTGTTTACTATCTATAGCAAACTCAGGTAAGTTCAAATAAGTTTATCCGAACTCCATGCAGATGTAGAATTAAGCCCTTTTAAATGTGTCTTCCTCTACTACTTTGTTACATAGTAGTATACTAGAAAATCTCCTACTACAAACCCATTTTCAAAAGTGTTTTGCTTTAATTATAGGCCAGGGTACTGGGCAGCTTTGAATCTCTCTCCCCATCCCTCCCTCTCTCCCCCTCTCTCCCTCTCTTTCCCCCTCCTCGTGACTATCTTAGCCTCAGACAGTCCTCCTCCCACAAGGTAAAGTCGTGCAGCCTGTTTAGTTGCTTTCACAGTTGCTCCCAGTTTCAGCAGAAGCTGATAGGAATTTGGTACCGCGGCCGCAATCTAAAAACCCCGCAGAAGCAGCCTGTAAGGTAGGGAGAGTGTGTGGTCTGCAATCAGTCCTTGTTTCAGAAAGTTTTCTTTCAAGTGTCTGAAGCCCAGACTCCACTTAAAAAAGTTTCCTGGGAAGAAGTCAGTGGGCCCCTCACGGGTGCCAACGCTTGTTGGTGACCAGACGAAGCCAGCAGGGAGGTTTGGCCGGAGAGTCAGCGAGCCCTGAGCAAGCAGGGCAGAGGGACACGCGGGCACGAGAGATGGCGCCTCGCCCTCTGCAGAGACGTCAGCGCCAGCAGGCTGGGGCGGCGCGGGGCTACTGACCTTGTGCCTGTAACCCCTGCGAGATCGGCTCAGCTCTGCTGGGTGGTCGGCTCGGCAGGGCGCGCTCCTCCAGCTGGCTTCCTTTCCAGTGCTGCCGCCTCCACCGCCTTCAAAACTTTAAGGAAGCCAAGTCCCACTCTTCAAGGGATCGCCTCACCCAGCCCTGTTAACACCTTCACTGCCGGCGCCTCCTTGAACTCGCTCTCGCCTGTTTATCTTTCCTGTGTGAGTCAAGTGCTGGGAAGAGGCTGTCAGAGGCAACATATCCCCCAGCCCCTAAGGCTAAGAAGTTACAAAGTTTGTATTTCCGTTTTCCCCATTTTCCTCTTAAGAAGTTGAAGCCTGCCCAGTTACAAACATGTCAAAGGGATTGTGTTTATTTTAAATGTTTTTAAGGATAAAGCAGCCACTTAGGAAACGCTGTACCTTTGAATTATAGTCAGTCCCTGAATTTAGAAGTGGGAAGAGAGAGCTGTGGTGACTTTTAGACTCAGTCTCTTTGGAAAGAAAAAAAAGTACTGCATGCATACACATACTTGAAAAATCAAAGCAAGGAAGAGTTTTCCTCTTTTCTTTCTTTTTATATTTCATTATTAGTTTTTGCCTTTCTGAGACAAGGTCTCGCTATGCGGTTCAGGCTGGCCTCAAGCTCACTTTGTGGCCCAGGTTGGTCTCAAACTTGCAACAATCCTTCTGCCTCAGTCTTGGGTTTTTCTTTTTTTAAAAAGGGAAAAGCAACAGCCCTTGCTCATCTCTAGCCTGATACCCACGTTAGTCATTTCACATCCCCAGTTTTTATTTACTGAGAATACATCTGATGTAAACTTAAAAGCGTGTCCAGCTGAGCAAGAACATAACATCAGGTAACTCTTACCTGTGGCGAGCACGCTCTGTGTACACCTGTGTTAACCTGCTTCCCCTTTTACCCACCCAAGGATACTCTCTACCTTCACTGTACAGTTGACAAAACAGACACAGAGAAGGTAAATTGCTCATCCAGGAGACAGCTAGCAGAAGGCCAGAGGTCTGTGCTCTTAGCTACTGTGTCATTAGAGTGACAGACTTTAAAAATGAGAAGAAGTGATTTGAGGGAGCTAAACCTCATCTTTTTTTTTTTTTTTTTAAAGACAGGGTCTATATAGTTCAGGTTAACCTTAAACTCACTGTACAGCCCAGGCTGGTCTGCAATTACCAGGGAAGCCTCTATCTCCCAAATGCTGGGATTACAGGCATGCACCACCAGGCCCAGCCTACCCCTCATCTAGGATGGCAAGAAGTCAGAAGATTGACCAGATTGACCAATTGATCTTCTCTTTGCAGATGAGGCTTTATGCTCAGAGAGATCAAGAGATTGAACCGAAACTATAACCTGGATGTTATTATTATTTTTTAAAAAGTTATTTTTCCATTCCACCCTAAGGGTAATAATGCTTGAGTATATGGGCAGCACTTAGAGCTCCATGAGAAAATCTTAACAGGGAATCTGAAAAGACTGATGTTTTTAAAGTTCTTCCATGTCAATGTTGAAAACTTAAACATGCATGAAACTCAAAACAAGGAAATCTCAGGAGATGACGAGATTACTTGTCTTCTGAGCACTGAGTCCTAAATTCTGTGCACATTAATTTCACAAGCCATTTTTAACTCTTTAATCTCCTCTTTGAGCTGCAACGTCACATCGCATTCTGCTTTCCTGTCCCCTTCAGTTAATTTCCATCATGAGTCTCTGTCTATAGGGAGGTCCCTGGTGGATGGAGGTGCTCTGCTGTTTTTTTACTCTGTTTTTCTCTGAGTAAACCTGGGCCTCCTCCATGAGATGCCCTGTAGTTCTGCCATCTAGCGGGCCCTCTCCTGGGTTGGAGCATCTGCGTAGGACCTCGAGACTTGCTCCCTTTTCCCTTGCTCCTCCCCTCATTCACTTTTATTGCTTATGCAGATGAAAGGGTTTCATCTGGGAGAACTGTCCATCCACATAACATACTTCGCCTTGCCTCCTGTTCGTTGGGGGTACAGTTCTGATGCGTATGATATATTTTGCTCCTACCCACCCTTCCTTGCCTATCCTTTCTTGTTTTCAAATACACCCTGTCTTCCTGATACAGTCACATAGGAACCTACCTGCGTGCATGAAGACACACTGATCTCAGTGACAGCCACATTCACTTGTTCAGCCTTTGCTGCATGCCAAGGATAGATAAGCAAATGATCTCAGGGTCCCCAAATTTATGATATGAACCAGATTTGTCTAATTCTAGAAACTGTGTCCCTTATCATGTTTGATTTTCATGTTGTAAAGTTAATAAAACATGTTGTATAGTACTTTACAACATGAAAATGCCACAAGTGCGTTTGTATTAACTTTACTGTTAAAATTCCTGTGTGCAAGTCCAATTACACACAAGTCCATCACATACAACCTAGAACCAACCCTATATAAAACCCTGAAGTGGAAAATAAGGAGGCCGGGCTCTTCTGCCTTTCATGTTCTAGCATCTATCCAGTCTATTCATGGGCAGTAGCTTCAAAAAGCTTCAATTCGCCAGGAATGGCAGCACACACCTGTAATCCCAAAACATGGGAAGCTGAGGCAGGAGCACTGCTGTGAGGTTGGGGCAATCCTGGGCTGGCCTGTCTGACCCTGTTTGGCATTGTCTCAAAACAAAAACAAAAACAAAAACAAAAACAAAAACACAAATAAAACAGCTTCACTGCTTCCCATCTCTGAGGAATGTCAATCAAATCAGCTCAGTCCCAGCAGGCAAAGTAGATCCAGGGGATTACTATTTCCTAGAATATGTGGACATTGGGAATCAAACCAATGCTATTGTTTTTTTTTTTTGTGGAACCGGGGATTGAACTCAGGCCCCTGCACTTGCCAGACAAGCACTAATTCCACTGAGCCATCTCCCCAGCCCCTAAACCAATGCTATTGTGATGGTAGGATTTAAGGCACGTGTGGAGGAGGAGTCTTTTAGCACCTTTTAAATCACACTTATAGGTGCACTAAAGCTGCCAGCACCTGAGGCTAGTCTTGAAATATTTGCGTTGGAAGCGTTGGAAGAAGGGAGAGAGTTTTCAATGAAGATTTCCTCCCTGCTTACTTAAGTGCTACGCTGGCACTCAATCACATGTAAGCTGAGTCCATAAAAGCAGAAAGAAAGCGGAACTCTGTGTGCTTTGCTAGACTGCAGGCCCCCTCTGCTGCATCCGCATCATCAACATTCTTGTTTACATTTGTAAAGTTAGGCCATGATTACAGGCTGAGCTTTTAATACTTCTGTAATATTTATGAGTTTCTGCTGCTTGTGTTTACATACTAATTTATTTTTGTGGTACTAGGGATTAAACTCAAAGTCTTTGCACTGAGCTACATCCTCAGCTCCTTTTCATTGTTTGAGACAAGGTCTTGCTAAGTTGCTGAGGCTGGGGTCGAACTTGCAATCCTTTTGCCTCACCCTCCCAAAGTGCTGCGACTACAGGTGTGTGCCTCTGTGCTTTATTCATATCTCAATCGTGTTGTAAAAAATCAGCAACCAGTTATGTTGTGCTGCTGTCCTGAACACTTCAGTAGGTTTCTGTTGACCTTAGGATGAAATCCAAATCCTTTTTCAGACCTACTTGACCTTCTATGCCCTGGCTTCTCCGGATCCATATCTTCCCCTCACTCACTGCGCTGCAGACCACAGGCTTGCTCTTTTCACTCTTAGGAAAGTTGAAGTTTTTCTGCCTCCTTCCTCTATTCCTCTGTCCCTAGTTATACTCTTCTTACTCTGTGGCTTTCACCTTCCTCTTTGCGAATTTGAGGTGAAATGTCTCTCTCTCAGGGAAATTTTCCTTAATTTTTATAAGTAGAAACTTTGTCATCCTACCCTTCCTCATAACAGTTATCATAATTGTGATTCAGTACTTTTCATATAATGATTTATGTAATGCCCAGATCTCTCAACTAGGCTAGAAGACAGCATGGCACTTGTATGTCTTCTTGTTGTTATGTTCTTATATTTTACATAATAAATGATATGTAGTTGATACTTAATAAATGCCAATAAAATGAGCTTATGAATGAAAGACTGAATAAATTATGTTCCCCAAAATCTGTTTGAGCAGATGTATGTCAAACTGTTGGGAATAGTTTCATATCAGACATATCTGTGGTACTGCTTTGAATGTTTTCAATTTCGCCTCTTAATCTAAGAAGTTTTAGAGATTTGGGGAGATGCCATCTGGCAATGTGTTTCCGCAAGCCCCTGCCATACATCTCTTGCCTCCTGCTCCAGCTCTTCTAATGTTGAAGCCTAGGTAAACTTTGGGAACTTGTTCTCCACTTGGAGTTGAGTTATCCAGAAATGTGGATCATGATTTGGTTGATGGGCAGTATAGGGATCCATGCTGGTTATGAAACTTATTATTTCTTGAGGCAGGGCTTGCAAGATAGCCCAGGCTGTCCTTGAACTCATGGCAATCATTTTGCCTCAGCCTCCCAAATTCTGGAATTATAGGTGTGTGACATCATGCCCAGTTGGCTGGTCATGAAATTTTATAGGATCCCAGAATGTCCTGCAAGATGAGTACCATTTGTCCATTGGATGACAGACATGATAATTCAACCTTTTATCAGTTCTTTCTCATTCTTTTGTTCCCCTGAGCCTAATGCCTGTTCCATAATAAATTAATTCCAAAGGAGCTACCTTTTTCTTAGACAAAGAGAGTGCCTTTTGAATGTAAAATTAAATCACAAGTATATGACAGTTTTTATCAATCAAATTTATTATTTTTTGGGAATTGATGTGTGCTATTTTAGAGGCATGGTATTTTTCTTTGGTCTTAGCACTTTGGTACTCTCAGGAATCCTTGCCATCCAGTTAGTTAGCTATAAGCCTATCCTAAATCCCTCAAAGGACTCCAAGTGGTTGGAAAGCTAAAGTGTTAAAGGTTCAGGGTCATGAAGCTACTCTCGACTCTCACAGCCATCTTGGTAGAAGCCTTGTGTCTTAGTTACTTTTCTTTTTTTTCCCCCATAATTTTATTGATAAACAAATAGCAATGAGACAGTTGCAACTCAAATCGGTAGGACGGTTTCAATAATTAACACGCTGCA